TCCTCAAGGTAACAGCTTGACTTTTTAACATTGCGCTTTTAAACAGCATGACTAAATGTTTAGAAAAATTTTAATGAAAACTATTATCAGAGCTGTATAGCTTTCAAAAACCCTACTGCTGATAAATGAAAATACACATGGCAGGGAATTTTAAAACCATTCGGATTATTTGCCTAGCCAGCATTTTTAAAGCAAAATTTTCTGTCGAGATTTGAATGATAATAGACTTTCTGAAGGAAGAATCACTGGGGCCCTGAAACCTTGCATAATGTATCATTACATTTGTAATACTATCTCAACTAGCTTTGTTTTTCATAAGTTGAAGCCGATCAGGACAAAGAGCAAAATATTATATGCCAAATGAAAGATCTCCCAGAATACAGAGGCAGAAAATGCACTTAGCAAAAACAGCTACAATCTCATCTGGTTTAACCGTGCAGTTGGGGTTCTATGAAATCTATTCTCCTAACTCCTCTTGTTTCTGAAGCACGTGAAAAGACATATTAATCTAAGTTTGAATGTTGGACAGAATAAAATATAGATTAGAGAAAACTTAAAAGAATTAAAAAATTTTTTTCTTAAGTCCATAAAAATGATAACAATAATGAAGTACAGAAGAAGCGAGTCGTTAGCCATCAATGCCGAGAAAATGTGATGTAGATCATGTTGTGGGGGCAATAATTGTTTACAATTCCTTTCACCTGTCCTCCATGGGGAGGGGAACACGGCTTTTCATTTGATTCACATTGTGAAGGACACTAAACTTCCCCAACAAAAGCAACTTTCTCACACTGCAGATTGCTCCCATTTTTACATCTTGGCCCACTTCTGGCAAAGACTAAGAGATGCCATATGTCTTAAAGTTCAGCAGCATGTAGCGACACTTGTAGCAAAATTTAAAAATGAGAAAAGAAATGCTAATCAATAAATTTGTAATTACTGCCTGAGTATATGACATATAACATTTAAAAATATCAGTTGTAACTTAACGGGCAAGACAAGTCCTCCATAAAAAATTTTATGCTTTTAAACTAATAAGGTAACTCTGAAGCCAGTATGAATGCCTAAACAGACCACAGACAACCAACCCAGGGTTGGCTGCTGCTGCAGACTCATAGCGACCCTTCAGGACAAAGCAGGTCCAATGTTTCTTCTGCTTTTAGTTTGCTACAAAGGTGGATATTTTATTCAGTGGCTTAGAATTTTACTATATTGAGTTACAGTAGGCTTCTACTTCTGATTTGCCATTGTGTTTAATTAAGGGATATAAATCAGGTTTTAAGATGCTATAGGGAAAAAAAAAGATAAGAAAATGACCAACGTACTCCAATGGTGAATGTACTAAAAGGTGTCTACTACCTGATTATGCTATAATGAAAAATGTTCTCTTTACTGAATTGCAGTGACTTACAGATAAAAATGTGTTGGTTTCCTAATAATATCTCATAAAATTTTATTTCCTGCTGATTAAGATGAAAGAAACTAAACAACAAACAAGACTCATCTTTTTATCATTATTTTAAAAGGTTTAAAATGACTTTAAAAACTAACTTTTCATAATTTCAACTCAGTTTGGACTAAACCTCCCAAACCAGTGTTTCACACATTTATTCCCTTCGCTTCTTTATTTTGCCCAAGCCATGCACAATACAATTATTTATTTTAAACCGGTGTCTTAATTCTGAAGAAGGGATAAAAGAAACGATTCTTAAATTATTTACATGTGCCAAGTCCATACCTGATTTCTTAATGAGGACAGAATGTATTCTTTTTCAGAGTGGGAAATTGTCCTGTGAGTTTCCGGTGCGTCACTAACTAACCAGATCCATAAAACAAACCAGAATATCCCAACTATGCCTTGAAATAGAGAGAGGAAAACAAAACCGTTAACAAAACTGGCACGTACTCCGAACAACCTTTACATATCTCAAAAGAAGAATATCCCAGTGTGTCATTTAAAAAATTATTTGAAGGGAGCCTCATCTAACATCAAAGGAGCTAGTCAGGTGAACCCAGTGGTATTCAGTCTGCTGTGTAGACACTACACCTCTATCAAGTTTCAAAACATTTCCATTCTCCCAGAGGAAAACCTCTTCCCCGGTAAGCCTTCTCTCCCCTTCCTCCAGGCCTTGGCAACCAGGGATCTGTGTCTATGGAGTTATCTACTGGCTAGTTCATGTAACATATGGCCTTTTGTGCCTGGCTTCTTTCACTAAGCATGTTGTCAAGGTTCACTTATGCTGTACCATGCTTCAGTACTTCAATCCTTTTTGTGTCTGAAAATACACCTCTGTACGTACATACTACAATTTGTCTCACAGTTCATCTGCTGAGAGAGATTTGGCAGATTCCACCTTTTGGCTATTGTGCCCATACATTTGCACATACATGTACTTGTATGAGTGTCTTTCTTCACTTTTGTGAGGATATACCTGAGAGCATGGAGCCCCGGTGACATAGTGGTTACACATTGGGCTGCGATCTGCAGTTCGAAGCCACCAGCTGCCCTGAGGGAGGACGGAAGGGCTTTCTACTCCCGCAGTTCGTTTCAGAAGCTCAGGGGAACAGCTGTGACTTGCTCTGAGTTGTCATGACTCGGTAACCGTGAGTTTGCTTTCTTCACCTAGGGGTGGAACTGCTGGCTCTATGCTAAGTCTGTGTGTAATTTTTCTCAGGGCACGAGTTTCACAGTGGTAGACTAATTCAAGACAGTGTTTTTGATAGTTAAGTGTGTTATATATATTAATTTCAAAGATTCAACAGTGATTCCTATTGAGAAATATTCCAAAAGTAATTTCAGGTCATAATTCTTGGCTATGTTACTTTAAACTTTATCAACTTGAAAAATAGATTACCAGAAAGTGTTTTAGAGCTCTGTAGTTTAGAAAATAATTATGTCGGGAGTTAGCATATGTATTTTTAACTAATTTTTGGACTACTAGCACATTTGAAATTTGTCACAGTATGATACAGATTGGTTTTTAAACTAATCATTGCATCTAATCGATGACAACCCATAGAAGCCCTATAATAGAATCTCCCCATGGGATTTTTGTGGCTATGGCTCTTACGGAACCGGATTGCCATCGCTTTCTCTCATGGGGCAGCCCGTGGGCTCAAGCCACCGACCTTACCGTTAGCAGCCAAACACTTCAGCTGTTGCACCACCAAGCCCCTTAATTTGCCACAATGAACTTACCAGAAATGTAGAAGACATAGGCCCAATCCATATAGAAACATATCATTCCAGAAAGAGGAAGAGAAATTACTGTTCCAAGCTGTGCTCCTAGAAGACAACAAAAAACACTAGAAATTTTAGAGATAAACAACAACAACAACCACCAATTGTTAACAGATGATCTTGCACGAGAACAACTCCTCAAATACTATTGGAGCTGTATTACTCACTTATAAAGAATCCATCCTCTTAAAAGACCTTATATTAGAAAAGCCACATGTAAAACACATACATTTAAAGTGTAGCTCTATTACTTCTACTTAGATAGTGACTTATTAGTTTAGGAGCATTAATCAATTTAAGAGTCATTATAAAAACTTGTATATGCTGTATGAGTTACAAGTTCAAGTGTTTGGGGAAACACAATCCACTGCAGGACTCTTGATAAAATTAAAATAAAAGTTTTAAATAATCTAATTTGTCTTCCCATCAATATAAACAATGCTTTCAGACAAATAATTAACAAAATGCATTCTAACCACCAAATACAACATGCTTTTGTAGGTGGAGTGGGCACTACAATGCTGACTTAGACATCTTTTCTGTTCTCAAGTTTCAGTCTGATGAGAGAGACACACACAGGAGCAATGAACTGTTACAGGTTACAAAGTGTTAAGTGTCACAGAGTAAGATGTGGATTCAAGTATGGGAACGGTGCCTTCTGACTCCCCTGGCTTCAACAAGAGTTACAAGCAAAAACGTTTGAACAGGACTTTGAAGATGGGTAGGATTTGGTAAACAAGGCAAGCAGGCAAATGCTTCATGAGATGTAAAGCCTGAGCAATGGAAGGGAAGTAGGAGTGCCCTCTGTGGGCGGAGCGATTAGGAGAGGAGGAAAGAGGGCAGGAGTCTGGAAAAATAGTATTTACTCTATGACAGGCAGCATGGGGGAGGAAGCAATGTAGACCCTAAAGAGTCTTGGCTCTAGGTCAGAGTCTAGATTTTATTCGGGAGGTAAGAAGGAACTATGGATAATACCTGCCCTTAAAGGTGTTAGACTTTTCATGAAACTGTCCATATAGCTATAAGAACGACCTTTTAAAAATATAAATCAGATTATGATAAGAGCTGTATAAGCCCCCAATAAAATGATAAACGAAAACCAAAACAAACAAAAAATATATAAATCAGATCATGTCCATACCTGATTAAAAACCTTTGTCTCAATAATAATTTATAAATTATCAAGGGCTCATGAGGGAGGGGAGAGCGGGGAGGGAGGGGAAAAATGAGGAGCTGATGCCAGGGGTTTAAGTGGAGAGGAAATGTTTTGAGAATGATGAGGGCAATGAATGTACAAATGCGCTTTACACAATTGATGTATGTATGGATTGTGATAAGAGTTGTGTGAGCCCCTAATAAAATGATTAAAAAAACAAACAAAAAAACCCCCCTTTGTCTCTCTATTGTATTTTGTAAAATAAATAAAAAGTTACTTTACTTCTGATAGCCTGCAAGCCTGCTAAATAAGGCTCTTGTTCCTTTAACCACATCTTGGGTCATTATTCCAGTGTTCACATTGTTCTAAGCACCCATCCTGGTTTCTAATTTCTTTGGACCTCAAAGTTATTTCATGTCTTTGTACATGCTGTTCAGATTAGCTAGAATGCTCTTTGCATTACTAGCTCTTGCCTATCCTTAATATTTTAGCTTGAAAGTCACTGTATGATCATGAGGTGTTGACGGAATCGGGTAACAGGCACCAGAAGACTACAAACAAACAAAAAAACATTTGTTGAGAATGAGGGGGGCTGGTGCAGAGACCCAAAATCCATCTGTAGACAATAGGACATCCCCTCACAGAAAGGTCACAAAGAAGGGATGTGTCAAGCAGGGTACAGTATAGTACTGATGAAACACACAATATTCCTCTGGTTCTTTGAGGCTTCCTCACCCCACTATCAGGGTCACAGTCCTGCCTTTCAGTTCTGGCTAGACTGGAGCATGTATAGATAAGAACTCAAAAAAAAAAGAACTCATGACATATGGAATCCAGGAGGAGCAATACCAGGAGGGTAGGGAGACGGTGGGGGGAGGATAGGAGGAAGGCGGAACCAATTATGCATAATTCCACCCCCCAGCCCCCACCAAGGATGAACAACAGAAACATGGGTAAAGGGAGACAGCGGTGGTTGTAAGCCATGAAAACAATAATAATTTATAAGTTAACAAGGGGTCATGAGGGTGGGAAAAATGAGGGCTGATACCAACGGCTCAAATAGAAAGTAAATGTTTAGAAAATGATAATGGCAACATATGCACAAATATGCTCGAAACAATTGATGCATAGAATGTTATAGGAACTGTAAGAGTCCCCAATAAAATGATTAAAAATCAAAAAGTTAATGCACTGAGGGCTTTCTCAACAACTGTATACAAAAGCAGTCAGGCTTACAAAAATTAATTCAAGTAATAGAAAAGAGGCTAAAAGTTCTGGCGGAACTTTAGGGTTACATATCACATATAAAGCTTATGTTATGCTACCTGCAGTTAAAAATGATGGCATATAAACATGCAGGAAAACACAGACGTAGGAAGAGAAGTTCTAAGTTATGTTACCCTCATTAGAAGATTGACTTTGAAATCATAATATAGGACAAAAATACTCAGTTTTCCAGGTGTTGGACTTTCTGTACATCAAAATCTGAAGAGGCACAATCATTTAAAATAAATGATGGCACAGGTGAAAAAATGACAGTTGTCAATGAAATCACATGACTATCGGCTGCTGTATCAAAGAGGGAAATTAGCCATCAAATTGGGAGGCACCCAACAGTACGTGATTCTGGAGCGTGGGAATGCCAAATCCCCCCTCCCCCGGCCCGCCGCAGGGTGATAGATAAAGTAGCAAACTGCAGCAACCAATCTTCTAAGAACAGTTAACTCACCTGCATAGGAAATGCTCAGAAGCTTGCTTCTCTCCAGAGGGGGAGCCCAAGAAGACCACATGGCATGCATGGCTGGAAATGTAACACCCTGATGGGGGAAAGGGCATTTCAGATGAAGCATATGGTAGCTTTCATGTTTGAAATTCAGCAAAGTATTTTGTTTCAAACTTGAGGTTCAAGAATTTTATGGACAAGAATTGAACTAGAATCAGGTTCCATGACGCCAAATGTCTACAGTGTTAACTCAAACATCTTGTAATGAAGGACTTCTGAATCCTGAATAAAGATGTGTGGATTCTGTGAACTGGCTTGAGGATAGCCTGGTGTGGATTACAGTACGTCGTTGGGAATGTAATGAGCGATAAAGGGATTACTCTTAAAGATAAATTTATTTATTCAATTTGGATATTTATAGTCTGATTTCCCCTAGTAATAACTGGCTTAGTGAATGCCCATTACTGACGTGGAAGGGCAGTAGAGCAGCTGAGGCAGGGAGGTTCACAGAAACAGATGAGCAGATTGATGTAAGTATGGATTGTGATAAAAGTTGTATGAGCCCCTAATAAAATGATTAAAAACAAACAAACAGATGAGCAGACCCCACAGAACTGGAGAAAAAACGTTTTCAGTGTATTCAAACTAATGTGTTTACAGCATTCCTTACCTACTCCCTAATTACAATCTTAGAAATATTACGTTATCTTAAATGTCTTTTTCTTCATCTGTCTCAAAGAGATACTATTCTTCATCTGCCATGATTGTTAATGGTTGCTGCTGTCAAATTGGCCTGACTGATGGCGACCTTATGAACCCTGGAACCAAACACTGCCCCGTCCTGTGCCATCCACATGATAGTTGAGGGATGGAACATTGCGAGCCAGATGGTTTTCTCTGGCTAATTTCTGGAAGTAGAATGTCAGAACTTTCTTCCTAGCCTGGAAGTTCTGCTGAAACCTGTTCAGCATCAAAGCAACACACAAGACTTCACTAAGAGACGGGTGGTAGCTGGGCATGAATGCGAGGCCCCTTGGTGGAAGGGGAGAATTCTACCATTGAACTACCACTGCACCCATAGACAAATGGCAGCTCCTATCATTTTTAAGGAGCTTTGATGGCGCAGTGGTTAAGTGCTAACCTAAAGGTTGTTGGTTCAATCCTACCTGCTACCTACAGGAGTAAAATGTAGCTATCTGCTTTGGAAACCCGATGGGGTCGTTCTACTCTGCTCTATAGGGTCAATGTGAGTTAGAATCAACTTGACAGCAATGAGCTTTTGGTAGCTTACTATTATTGTTAATAGAGAGAAGAATGAAAACTTTAGTGTTTCATATTTTCTGTTGGGTCTTCCAAAAACAATGAAGGAGAAAGAAACACCAAGGAAAGGCAAAGACAATTTAGGCATCAGGGAAAATGGATTAAGAATTTGTATCACAGAGTATCCACAGGATGAATCACTGCAGAATAAAACTTCGACACTTGGTAATCCCCACAGAGATTAGGTTGTGGGAAACCTTGTTGCTAAACCCCAAGGTCAATGTAAATATATTTATCATTCATCAGATGATAGGGATTAAAGATGCTGATCTAAGTTTATGGATGAGGCAATATCCATTGCCTCATTGAGAATGGAAAAACAAAAAGAACCTCAGAACAAGCACAACTTAATTTCATTTAGAAATAAAATGGCCACTTGTAGTAGTAAATAAGATAAAAAAGCAGGCTACAATACTAAATTAGTACCATAGAGAGAGGAACTAACTCACATATGGAAACCCTTCAGAAAGAAGACTCAGTGACTGGATCCGAGAAAATACGCTGTCACTAAGCATATTTAAGTCTACTGTATTTGTGAACAGAAGACGAACCTGGGAGCAGAAGGGCATTTTTGTTTTAAAGAGGGAAAGTTAACTTAATAGATCTCTATTTGATATGGACAAAATGGGAACACTCATAAGAGTGATAATGCTTCAAATAGTCCTGGACACTTTCAAAGTACTTTAGCAAACACGGTCATATTTGAGTCTATGACTGTCCTGTGACTGAGGAGGGAGGGTTATTACTCCACTTTTAAAGATGATGGAACTGATCTCTTGAGGTTAGAGCTTATCTAAGTTTTCGCTGTATTTCTGACTCTAGTCTGTCGTCCTTTCCAACACAGCATGGTGTGGCACGACCTGAAATGGCCTTCCCGCTGCATGCGCAACGAGCACCAGCAGATGGTGACGTCTGCCATCTGCTCTGGTCTCACCAAGGGGAGAGAGAGAGAGAGAGAGAGAACTCTGCGCCTCGCCTTGGCTTCACAGGTAGAAGTTCGAAGCCAGAAAGAAAGGAGGGGGGGAATGGGGAGCTAATAACAAGGAGCACAAAAAAGGAAGAAAACTGTGATGTGGTAATGACTGTACAACTCTTCTTGTTATGACTTACCTATTGAATTATACGATACGTATATGTCTCATAAAAGTGCAGGGCAAAAATAAAAGGTAAAGAGACCATTCTATAAAGAGGGAGGTACATGTGATGAACTGTAAAATGCAAAAGGGAAGTGGAAAGAAAAAGATAAGGAACTAAAATTTTAAAAATAATGATCATAGGCGGGGGAAAAAAAATAACCCACCAAACCTACTGCAACTCAGCTGATTCTGACTCAGAGTGACCCAATGGACAGAGGAGACCTGGTTCCCAGAGCTGCAATCTTCTGCAGTCAACCAGCACACTCCAACCAGCGGCCTTTGGGTTAGCAGCCTGGCACATAACTGCTGTAACACTGGCTTCTTTTTTTCCTGTGTGTGTGTGTTTAATTGATCATTTTATTGGGGGCTCTTACAGATATTATAACAATCCATAATTCAATTACATCAGGTGAATTTGTACAGATGCTACCACCATCATTTTCAAAACATTTTCTTTCTACTTGAGCCCTTTGATATCAGCTCCATTTTATTTTCTCCCTCCCCCACCCTACCACCCTTGTGAACCCTTAATATTATCATTATTATTTTCATATCTTACACCATCCAATGTATCCTCTCACCCACAGTTGTTATTTGTCCCCCTTAAGGGGGGTTATGCTATCAGTTCCCTTCCCCTGATACCCCCCTCCCTTCCCTTCTCCACATGGAATCGTTACTCCCATTACTGTTTCTGAGGGGTTTATCTATCCTGGATTCCGTGTCGGAATAGCTATTATCTGTACCAATGTGCATAAGCTGGTCTAATAGGATCTGTGAGATGAAACTGGGGCCATGATAGTGGGGGAGGAAACAATAAAGAACTAGAGGAATTTTGTGTGTTCCTTCAGTGCTATACAGCACCCTGGATAAGTATTCTCTTCCATGTGTCCCTTCTTTGAGGCAGTTTCTGGTTATCAACAGATGGGTTTTGGGTCTCCATCCTGACCCCTCTCCTTCACAACAATATGATTGTTTGTTTTTGATCTTCCGATACCTGATCCTGTCAGCACCTCATGATCACACAGGCTGGTGTGCTTCCTCCAGGTGGACTTTGTTGCTTCTCTGCTAGATAGCCGCTTGTTTAACTTAAAGCCTTTAAGACCCCAGATGCTATATCTTTTAATAGCCAGGCACCATCAGCTTTCTTCACCACATTTGCTTATGCACCCACTTTATCTTCAGCGATCATGTAGGGAAGGTGAGTGTCTCACAGTACCACGTTATTAGAACAAAGTGTTCTTATGTTGAGGGAAGACTTAAGTAGAGGCCCAAAGTCCGTCTGCTACTTTAGTGCGTTACCATATAAATATATAGAGAGTCCTATACACTGGGCTCCTTGTTAAGAGGAGGGAAAGGAGAGAGAAAAATGATTAACAATCCTAAGAGTAGCAGCAAGGTTAGAAGAACCCAAGGAATAAATAGAGTTGTGTGAAATAGCAGATCCTTTATTTTTAAATTAGGGGGCCATCAAAAGGAACGAACATGTGGTAACTAGAGTGGAAGTTCCACAAATGAGAGCAAATTAAAAGCAGGGCAATTTGACAGTCTAATGCTTGAAATGCGTTTCAGACCTGGGCAATCAACAGAGCAGAGACAAACTGGGGCAAAAGTACAGGAGGCTAGGATGCCCACCTTAATGTTGTAATAGTGGTCTTGCATCTCTACCTCTTACATTCCCCAGCTCTGGCTTCTGGAACTGTTTTCTGTATTCTAAGTGGAGCATCACATTCTGGGGTACTTGTACTTGACACCTTAATAACCACAAACAAAACCCAGCCAGGTTTTTTTCTAGCCAGTCCTTCTACTAATGAAAAAAGTAAGTCGCTGTTACTGTTCAGTGTTATTTTGGGGCTTATATTCATACCAAAGGTCTTGAAGAAGAAGAAGAGAGACCGGCCAGATGTAAAAGAGAAGAGTCATTAATAAATTACCTCTCCTAGTCCTTCAAGGGTTCGGACTGCAATGAGATACCCAACTCCCAAGTCTGCAGCGAGGGGGGTGAACAGAGTGAAGACCGCAGTGCCAAGGACTCCGAATCCTAATAGCAGTTTCCCCCCCACTTTTCTGGCAACATATCCTCCAGGGATCTGTGTGATGATGTAGCCATAAAAAAAAGAACCCAGAATCCATCCTTGGGTTTCTGCATCCCACTGGTACTGTTTACCCTAGAAGGAGAGAGGGAAAAATGAACAAAGAAAAAACAAAACAAAAAGAAAATACAACCTTTTAAGATACTGACTTACCAGTTCCTCCCTCATGAGTATATACATACAAATACAATTTGGAATCATTGTTTTATTTTTAAAAATGTTAAAATTGTAAATTAGGTAGAGGTTTACATTCAGATCAACCCTGCAGTCAACAGTCCAAACCACTAGTCAGACTGTCCAGTATCCACCCGACCTGCTCCCTAACACCCCTCCCCGAACGACTGCTGTAGATGGGAGAACAAGCACAGCTTCTAGTCAGCAAGTCATTCGCCAGCATGTGGACACACGGGGAAGTCAATCAAAGTCAGAAAGGTCACAATTTGCTTTCTTAGGAAGCTATACTACAGCATACGTTCTAGATGATTTGGACTTAATTAAAAAAAGAACAGAGGTTTAATTCAGAAAGCTATCAAACAGTGTACTGCAGAGGTTGAACTAGTCTTTAGAGTTAGACACGCCTGGGGTTAAGCCCAGCTCTGCTACATTTCTGGGAAGAAAACGAAAAGCGCACATTGAATAAGGCCTGACGCACAGTAAGTGTTCACTCAATGTTGATTCCCAGTATGTATACATATGCACATTGAGTTGTGAGATTACCTAGAGGGCACTATACATGAAGAAAGCAAAAGGTCATTAAAAAGACAGGAAAGAAAGAAAAAGACCAGGATGGATTTCAAAGAGACTCTATATTTGATCTTTAACACACAGTAGCTAAAGCTAACAAAAGCTATGACATAAAAGAACGTAACAGCAGATTTCAAAGAGCAGTTTGAGAAGACAACGTATTTTAATGAAATACATAAAGACCTGCAGAGAAGAAAATGGTTGTTATTGCTCAAGCTAAAAGACCCGAAGAAGGCCAAACAGGTGTGAGAGGGAAAGTAGGAGGATCTCCATGAATTTACGCAGGTGTGACAGAGGTTACTTGTGTAGGTGTATTTACGTTGCTGCAAATATATCCACAAATGTGGTGGAGCACAGAGGAGGCAAAGTTAGGAAAACTTTTTAGACATAACCAAACATCTTGAGGGAAAGAGTTGCTGGGCTTGGGCTGGTGGTGGTTGTGGGGGATCAAGACTAGTCTCAGGGGACACCAAGTTCAAGGGGCCTACAACAGTCCACAGAGACAATGTTCTACATACTACCTTTGTGAGTAGGCTCTAGGTTTTAAAAGCTCATCCGAAGCCATTTAAGGTGCAATTACTGTTCTCCCCACATCTGGAGGAAAGAAAAGAGATGAACATGGAAAGGCATGTGGAAACAATTAGTCCAAGGGGCCACACAAAGATCAGTCTGCACAACCTGCTCTGAAGAGGATCACATGATCACACCAGAAGGTGCTGGAGAGAGGAGGAGGAAAATGTGGAAAAGAACTTCACAATTTTAAAGAGACCACATGTACTGACCCAGGTTGGTGAAACTTTTCTAGACTCTGTCTTCCAGATACCTTTCTGGTCTGGAAAGGAACTCACTACTCTTTCAGAATAATCAGCCATTTAAGATCTGCAGGGCAGCGGTGACCCAAGAACAAAGTTAGGAAGGAGGAGCAGAGGAAGGAAGTGAACTAAGTGATGGGACATTGGAAGGGTGGAAGTGGGTGAGTTCAAACAGAATCCGTATGAACGGTTGAATGTAAAACTAAAGATGTGCTCTGGAAATTTTCATTTGTAATAAACTTAAAAATAAAAGACCCAAAGAAAAATCCACACCTCAAGTTATAATACTAAAGGATTCTATGGGCAAAATATGCAATGACGTGGAAAGCGATGGAAGGAATACACTGTACCAACAACTGGTCAATGTTCAACCTCTACAGGAGGTGGCACATGAGCAAGAAGGAAGAAGTCCAAGTTACATTGGAGGCATTAGCCAATAAATAGGCTCCAGGAAATTGATGGAATTCTAATATTTCAACAAAGGGGCCTAATGCTAGAAATGGTCGCTAGTCTATACCAACAAAATTGGAAGACAACTACTTGGGCCAGCCAAATGGAAGAAATTTGTATTTGTGCCCATTCCAATGAAATGTGACCCAAGAGAACATGGAAATTATTGAATAGTATCATTTATATCACAAGTGTTGTTAAAAATTGTTAAAGAATCGCTGCAGCAGTACATCAACAGGAAGTGCCAGGAATTCAAGTTCGTTTCAGAAGAAGATGTGGCATGAAGGATATCACTGCTTTTGTCAGATGTATCTTGGCTGAAAACACCTGAAAGACTTTTGTGTTTTATTAACTCTGCAAAAGTATCTGACAGCATGAATCACAGCAAAGTATGCATAACATAGGGAAGAATGGAAATTTCATAACACTTCATTGTAGAACCTGAACAGAAGCCAAGAGGCAGTTGTTTGAAGAGCACAAGGAAATGCACTGCATGGTTTAAAATCAGGAAAGGTGTGTATCAGTGTTGCAGCCTGTCGGCATGCTTATTTAATCTGTATGCTAAGGAAATATTCTGAGGAGCTGGACTACAGGAAGACTAATAGGCATGTAGGAAGACTCATTATCTGCCCATGCTATACAGATGATACAATCTTGCTTGTTGAAAGTGGAGAGGACTTGGAGCATTTACTGATGCAGAGCAAAGACTACAACCTTCAGTATGGATTACTCCTCAACACAAAGAAAACAAAACTCTTCACAACTGAACCAACAGACACTCTACGATAAACAGGGAAAAGAGTGAGGTTGCCAGAGTTTTAGTTTTACTCGGATCCACAATCAATGCCCATGGCAGGATATCAAAGGACATGGCTTATTGTGGTCAAGTCTGCTTCAAAAGATCTCTTTAAAATGTTAAAAGTGAAGCTATCACTTTGAGGACTAAGAATTTCCTGATTCAAATCAAGGTATTTTCAATTGGTTCATATGCATATGAAAGCTGGACAATGAATCAGGGAGACAGAAGAAAACCAATTATGGTGTTGGGTGAAGAATATTAAATATACCATGAACTGCAAGAAGAGTGAACAAACAGGTGTTGATAGAAATGTTCTTTATATATAAGTGAGGATAGTGAGACTTGCTTCATATATCTTGGGCGCGTCATTCATTAGGAGGGATCAGTCCCTGGAGAAAGACAGACATCATGCTAAGGAAAGTAGAGGGTCCAGTAAAAGAGGAAGACCCTCAATGGATGGAGCAATACAATGGCTACAACAATGGACTCGAACGTAAGAAGGACGGTGAGGATGGCACAGGACTGAGCAGGGCTGTTCTGCTGCACGTACAAGAGAATGGTATGGATGACGCATAAGGACAAGACTTAGATGTTAGACCCTAGACTATCCCGGTTGTAGTTACTAAAAAGGATCTTGGGTGGCACAATGGGTTAAACAATGGGCTGCTAATCACAAGGTCATCAGTTCAAATCTACTAGCTGCTTTGAGAGAGAACTATGGCATTGTCTGCTCCTGTATAGTTTTATTGTCTTGAATACCCTATACTATGAGTTGAAATGAAGACAAGGAGTTGAAATCGACTTAAAGGCAATACGGTTGGTTGGTTTGGGTTTATAATTCCTCCAGGGTGAAAAACAATTTCCGAAAAGTCCCAGGGAAGACTCATTCAAGTGTGATCTAGTTCCTTTATAATGACTAAACATGGATGAAAGTATAGTAGACCCATGAACAGGGCATCTTTAAAGAGTGCAAACCCCAACACTTACCTTTTTCTTCTGAATAGAGGAGCACACAGTGGTCACTTCCATTACATAATGGCGCAGGCCAGACGGCTTCACTAGCTTAGGTACACTTGTACCCTCAAGGCATACATGCATTTTGGAAAAGGAAACCTTAAGAAGGTGGCCAGCTCTAATGTTTCCATGCTACAGCTGACACTGAAGGTTTCCTGCAACCGTCACTCAGCAGGTGACACACCTGTCAGATCATAGCCCTACAATCCTTACTCAGCAGCATAGAAAACCATCCAATGTACTATGCCAAACAGGTTGTTCCAAATGCTCTGCCAAGACAGTCTGTTTATATAGGGCTCGAAGAACTACTTTCCAAAGGGCTCATGCTGTCTTACAGCATAGCAGCAGTAGCTATAGTTACGAGTTCTTGCCCAACAGCTCTGGGAAAAACACAAAATGAAAGTGACTTAGAGTAGAAGGGACAGAGTGGTCATGGTATTTCGGGCATGAAGAGACACAATGCAAAACTGTTACCCGACTTGTACTTAAGAATACTTGATAAAAGCACCAGCACCTACCTTTGGATTATGAACTTTTTTGGGAACAGAATGCTCTGGACATTCATGGGAAGTGCTGTTGTCCTCTGAAGTTGTATTTGATTGTATCATATCCACTAAGGCGACACTCAGGTTCACACGTAATGCGTAGACAATGAAGAAACCCAAACAGGCCAAGACTGCCAGGTTGTAACGAGCAGAGCAGCAGCCCGGAGCTGAAACAAAGATGGCAGGAACACTTTAATCGAAAGTTAGAGGACACTACTGTCTAAACCACTCAAGACAGGTGAGTTTTCACAAGTGTGCAAATTAATAAACCATGGCTATTTTCCTGAGAGTATCTTTGAAAACATTTATCAAAAATAATTCATTTATCAGACCTAAAGTTTCCATAAATACTTTCCCATGAGAGTTCATTACAACAGAGGTAAACATATTGTCAACTCGGCTCAGAAAAATCTCCAGGCCAGTCAAACTGAACACTCCCTGGGAGAGGCTCAGCTGGCAAAGATCTGTCATGGGAAGAGTCAGTCGGAAGATTTGATCAAATGGCATCATTATCCCTGGAAAATTATATAAAAAGAAAGCATGGGCAATAAGGACTCAGAAACTTACTGTGCCACAGTATATACAGTACTGACTCTAGGTTAGGACAAAGATCCCTGGTGGTGCTGTGGTCAGGCACTGGGCTGCTAACCGTAAGGTTAACGGTTCAAACACACCAGCTGTTCCAGGGATGAATGATGAGACTCAATGTTGCCCATAAAGATATGTAGTGCTGGTAACACTGTCTAGGGTCAGTTTAAGTGGGAATGTATTCGATGGCAGGGGGTTTGGGTTTTTGGTATAAGGGAGCAAAAGAACCCTGGTAGCGCAATAATTAAGTGTGAAGTTGCTAACTGAAAGGCGGGCAGTTTGAACCCTCAGCAGCTTCACAGTAGAAAAGCCCTGGCCATTGGCTACTATAAAGGTTACAGCCTAGGAAAGCCTGTGGGGCCGATCTACTCTGTTCTATAAGAAGCAACTGAGGCATACAACAATCAGAAGACTTTGGTCACTGTGAATCATTGTCATTAACAAACAGACAAGGCAAAAAAAAAACAAATCATCAAGTCAACCTGGACTCCAGGTGGCCCTCGTGTTAGTGGAGGAGAATGGAGACCCCAGGCTTTCTTGCCTGTTATCTTTATGCAAACAAATGGCTGGGTCTGTCTCGTGAAGCATTGCTGGGTAGGTGTGAACTGCCAAACTCTAAGGAAGTGTAAACTATTTGTGCCCCTGGGTACCTTGCTGTTGTGGTTATTGCTTTTTTCCTGGATATTAGGAATTTAGGTGATTTACTAGAAACTGAAGTTATTTCTCATTTGTGAAAAGTTGGGAATTGAGAAAAGATGGGGAGAAGTTGTTTAAGAGTGTGAGGCTCCCAGCACAACAGAAAGGGTTCCTAAGGGACTAAATGCCTGTCCTGCTGCGCTAGTTCCTGACCGCAAAGCCACACACACTTGTGCTCAGGGGCAGGGCATGAGTGTAAGGTAGTTAAGAGGCACCAGAGACCAAATCAGTCAAATTTGAGCAAACAGGCTTTATTGGGGAGACAAATCCTGCCTGGGTGAAGTCCCAAGGTCCACAGTGTCCGGGCTGAGGGAGTCACACTCCAGACTACAGGAGTGGTGTTTATATAGCCGGGGAACACGTGACTGGGCTGTCTTGAGTCCATATAAGGTAAAGTAGTCAGGGATTGGGAGATACAGGTATGTCCAGGTTTCTGGAATGTAAGGTGTCTTCCTCGTTCCGGGTATATTCGTGCTGGGTGCAGAGCGGTAGGCTGAGAACAAAGCGGGCACTGAGCCGGGCCGTGAACAAAACGGGGCCGTGAGTAAAAGAAAGAAAAATAAACTTGCGAAGCTGCTTAACATAGCCAGCTCTGGTCACCTCCGCAAGGGTGGGGGAGATTCAAGGTCACTTGCTGCTAGAAGCCGGCTTGGTATTGATCTGGCCAAACAATGAGAAAGCAGTTAGTGGTGCTGATCTGGGAGTACTGTAATGAAATCTCAATAGCAAGGATGAGGGATGAAACAGGGGACATTACCTCTCTCTCTTCCGGTCCCTGGTGCTCCGGGAGTTGAGGCGTCGGTGCAGACATGGCCAAGTCCAAGAACCACACCACGCACAACCAATCCCGGAAATGGCACCGAAACGGCATAAAAAAAACCCGGTCACAACGATACGAATCTCTTAAGGGGGTGGACCCAAAGTTCCTGAGGAACATGCGCTTCGCCAAGAAGCACAACAAGAAGGGCCTGAAGAAAATGCAGGCCAACAATGCCAAGGCTGCAGCTGCTCGCGCTGAGGCCATCAAGGATCTTGTGAAGCCCACAGAGGTCAAGGCCAAGATCCCAATGGGTGTCAACCGCAAGCTCAGCCCACTGGCCTACACTGCCCACCCCAAGCTTGGCAAGCGGGCTCGGGCACGTATTGCCAAGGGTCTGAGGCTCTGCGGGCCCAAGGCTAAGGCACAAAGCAAGGCTGACGCTCCAGCCAAGGCCACGACTCCAGTGAAAGCTCCCAAAGGTGCCCCGGCCCCAGCTCAAGCTCCCAAAGGTGCCCAGGCCCCCACAAAGTAGAGTTCTCTGTGTGAGAGCAAGAGGGACTGGTGTGAGCCTGGGCTGCGGCCTGCACGGCGCTGGTGTCTTCTTGTGCTGTTGGTTGTACAAATAAACCCAGGCGGCGCTGTTATCGGTCAAAAAAAAAAAAAAAAAAGAAAGAAACGGGACATTACAACAAACTGTAATGAAATAAAAAGGATAATTACATAGTACTATGAAGGCCTGTACTTTAACGAATTCAACAACTTGGAAGCATGGACACATACTTGGAAATACAATCCCTCCCTAGACTATCCCAGATAGATGTCAAGAACTTTAACAGACCCATAGCAATAGAAGAAATAGACAAGGTTATCGAGGGATTACCAACAAAAAAAATTTCCCAGGCCAGATGGCTTCACAGGAAAATTCTATCAAGCACTCAAGGAAGAACTGATACCAATCCCACACAAATTCTTCCAGAACATAGAAAAAGATGGAAAACTCCCAAACTCTTTCTATGAAGCTAGTATAACTCTGATGTCTAAACTGGACAAGGATCCCACAAGAATTGAGAACTATAGACCAATACCCCTAATGAACATCGATGTAAAAATTTAACAACATACTGGCCAACAGAATACAAAAGCATATAAAACAAATAAATAACCACGACTAAGTGGGATTCATACCAGGGATGCAGGGGTTGTTCAACATATGAAAGAACATAAGCATTATTCGCCACACTGACATGAAAAATTATAAGAACCTCAAGATAATATCAATAGATGCAAAAAAAAAACCATTCGACAACATCCAACACCGATCCCTGTTCAAGACACTAAAAAAGATAAGAATGGATGGGAAATTCCTCAATATAACACAAGCTATATATGATAAACCAACAGCCAATATGGTAGTCAATGGAGAAAAGACCAACACAATTTCACTAAAAAGGGGACCAGACAAGGATGCCTCTTGTCCCCACTCCTATTTAACATTGTACTGGAGGTTCTAGCTAATAACATAAGACAAAGAAAAACATCAAAGGTATTTGGGGAAAGAAGAGGCAAAACTATCACTATTTGTAGACAATATGATTTTATATATCTAAAATCCCCAAAACCACACAAGTGGAGTATTGGAAGTGATAGAAGAATAGGGCGGAGTGGCAGGATACAGGATCAACAAACAGAAGTCCATCGGACTGCTATACACATCAGACAAGATCACAGAGGAGGCAATCAAAGAGGTAGTACTATTTACAATAGCTAACCACAAATTGAAATATCTAGGGATATACCTGACTAAAAAACCAAAAGAATTATATGAGGAAAACTACAGAACACTATTACAAGAAACTAAGAGTGACCTCAACAAATGGAAAAATATCCCATGCTCATGGATTGGAAGACTCAATATAGTAAAGATGTCAGTTATGCCGAAGGCACTATATAAATTTAACGCTATCCAGATAGACATACCATTATCCTTCTTCAAAGAATTGGAAAAAACTGTTTACCAACTTGGAGAGGGAAGAAGGCCAGAATTAGCAGAGAACTCCTCAAGAAGGACAAAGTGGGAGGGCTTGTTCTACCTGACTTTAGTACGTATTATATGGCCACAGTGGCCAAAACAGTGTGGTACTGGTATTATGACAGATATTCAGACCAATGGAAAAGAGCTGAAAACCCAGAAATATAACATCAGCCTAAGAGACAACTGATTTTTGATGAGGGCCCCAAAAATCTGAAACGGGAAGCAGATGCCCTCTTTAATAAATAGTGCTGGAAAAAATGCATATCTACTTGTAGAAAAATGAAGCAAGACCCTTACCTCACTCCATGCACAAGAATAAACTCAAGATAGATCACAGACCTTGAGGTAAAACACCAAACTATTAGGGACATCAATGAGGGAATTGATACAAACCTGAGAACCTTGGCACAGGGAATACAAAGGCTATCAGAAATAGAGAAGGACACAAATAAGAGTCACAAATTGACAAGTGGGATATATAGTACTGAATATAAATTACCTGTGTACATCTAAAGAATTCACCAAGAGAGTAATAAGAGAGCCCACAGACTGGGAAAACATCTTTAGCAATGACACATCAGACAAAGGCCTTATTACAAAAATCTACAATACTTTGTAAACTTACAATAAGAAAAAAACTAATTGCCCACTGAGGAGGTGGGCAAAGGACCTGAACAGAAGTTTCAAAGGGACAGATATCCGAATGGCCAATAAACATATGAGGAAGTGTTTCCGATCTTTAGCCATAAGAGAAATGCAAATTAAAACAACTATGAGATACCACCTAACACCCTCAAAGATAGCCCAATTCAAAAAATCAGAGAGCAACAAGTGTTGGAGGGGCTGTGGTGAGATAGGAACGCTCATCCACTGCTGGTGGACCTGTAGGTATGTACAGCCACTATGGAAATTGATTTGGCGATATCTAAAACAGATGGAAATTGAGCTGCCTTATGACCCAGCAATCCACCTACTGGGCATATACCCAAAAGGGGCAAAAAACAAACCACAGCCAGACATCTGTGCTCCAATGTTCACTGCGGCACAGTTCACAATTTCAAGGAGTTGGATGTAACCCAAATTTCCATGAA